AGACTAACCATTACATCATTTTTAGGGAGGGACTGTATTAGCAGCAATTAAGAGACCAAACCCGAACCGTGGTTTGCAAAATTTGGAAAAAAAAAATACCTACCTTCATGGAAAATAATTATAAGGTAACTTAGAATTTTAATTTTCAATAAGCAAGAGTCAAAGAGATAATATTTTGTGATATATTAGGGCTTAGAATAAGAAAACAGAGAGCCAAGTTCAAATTCCAGTCAGGTTTGTTACATTAACTTACATGCAAATACCATCTCCTTCTCCAGCTAGGGGTTAAATAGTAAGACTAGTTTCTGGAAAAAAATTGTTAATGAAGAAGAATTATTCTTACAATAAAAAATGTTTTAGTTTTAAATAAACAACAAAGGGTTGGTAAGCTTGAAAAAAAAAAAAAAAGAAATCAAATCATTGCTACATTTTTGCAAACTGACAAGAATTCATCAAAATGTTGCATAAGCAAAATTCTTCCTATAGAAAATTCCAAATAAAAGATAAATATTTAAAAAAGGAACATTAGATAAAAAAGCCAACAAGAATTCTGGAAAACAATTTATTACCATTTTATTCAACAATTAGGCAAAAATTACTTTTTTCTTTTTCTTTTTTTTTTGTTTTTTTGATAAGATAAATTTGTTTTTTTATAATCAGCTTGTAGTACAAGCTATTTTAATGCATATTTTGATGGGTACCAGTTTGCTAACTGCATCAACTGGTAAAGCAAATTTCAACAACTTGTTTACAAGTAACAGACATGAAACATTTATTTTACATTTATTGAATTATTTCCTTCTCACTCTAATCAAATTTTTTTTCTTCTCTTTTATTGATCTGGTAAGAAGCATATTGCTGTGGTATGCAAAACACACTGTGAAAGACCAATTTACTGGAGGTTCCAGCTCTTGAAAGAAACAGTGGCACAAGACAAATGAGATAGAAGTTTAAAAAAAAAAATAAAATAAAATAAAATAAAAGTGGTCATCAGTGAAGAAAAAGATTTCCATAATAATCTTTCTTTCAAAGTTTTAAACAACCTACAAATCAAACTTGAGGCAATGACAGTTTAAATTTAAAGCTTGAGTTTAGACAACAAGTGCTGGTTTTTAAAATAATTTCTTTTTAGGCACATGTTTGCCTAAATTGTGTTGTGGGAAAGGAAAATATGTCTTACCCTAAAAAAATTATTCTGTTGCTCAATTTATGCCTTTTAATGACATGTTTTTAAAGGATCAATCTCTTTGATCATCTACTCAAGACTGGACCCAATATACACAAATGTATAATATAAATATATACATTTATGTATATTACAAATCTAATATACATATTTGCATAATTCAAGTGCAATTATCTGTATGACTTACAGACTATAAAAATGATACAATTTACAAAAAAAAATGTTAAAGCATAAAAATCAAAATACATATGTAATAGATACAAAATACAATCAAGTTTGGGCATTAGGTTACTGTCTTTTATCTTTTACAGAGTAACAGATAAAGTTATTAAAATACATGCTAATAGCGACAAAGAGAGAAAATTAAACAGGAAAAAATTTAGCAAGCTGTTTTCATAGTCACCATACGATTGCTCTTTTTCAAAGAAAAAGTTCCATTTTTACTTGTGTGTGTATGTGTGTGTGTGTGTATGTGTATCTAGCAGAAATAAGAGTCATTTTGAGATCAATCCGGAAACCATAATAAAACTTAAATATAACCTCAGAAATTATTCACAAGGACAAACACTGAATTCAATATAAACATGCATGCCATTTATTAAATAGGCGAATAAAGAAAACTGCTCTGAGTGAAAAATTTAACAAGTAACTCAAATATGAGCTTTCCCCAAACTATTCAAAAACATGAAGAAATCATCTTTTCTACTTTGGGAAAAAAAAAAAAAAAAAAAAGAGAGGAAAGAAAAGAAAAACTGCTTCATAAAATATCACAGGCTTTTTGTTTTATTTACATTTACAGTTCCCACTGTGTTGGGCAATAAAAACTGCATGAAAACAGTAACAGAAACATCTAACAATAGAGCAAGTTCAGATATTTTATATAGAATACCAATTAAAAAAATACAATAAAAAATAACAAACCAAGACAGCAAAGATTATATTTGATATTTGAAGAAAAAAACAAATAAATAAATAAAAGTAGACTTATTACCGAAAATTGAAAGATCATTATTTGGTTACTTCTCTATATATTACTAAGTAGGCCAACAGATATCAGTCGTTGAACCTGAGTCTCGAAATTGTTCACACGTCCACGTATGTTGGCATAAAAGGAAACACATGTAGTGAAATTATACCGGAGATGATATGGTAGCTTACTTTAATCACAAATATCATTTTTACTCACATTTAGTCACATACCAAGAAAGAATAGTCAATGAAGAAACTACATCAAAACTAACAGCTTCATTAAATCATAAAAAAATAGATTTGAACACCATGTTTAGGTAAAATTAGGTCACTATAAATTAAAAAAATATTCTTTTCTATATTCAACTGGATAAACCAAGATATTGAAGTTAAAAAAATGCAAGTATTTCATTAGAAGCAAATTTGTTTTATGCTTTAATCTCTACTGGAAAAATTTCTCTCTTAAGTTATATTAGTTTCAGTTCAATCTGAAAATGAATTGATCAAATATTTTTCAAAGCTGTAAGGTTTGTATTGAGAAAAAGACATTTTTTATCCTATCACCTTATTTGCATGCATTTATCTAAGATGTTTATTGTTGATATAAAAGAACAGTCTACAAAAAAAAAAAAAAAATGAAGGCATGATAAGGAAGAAAAGAGTGAAAATTTTTGCCATTATTAACCATTGGATTCTATTACAAATAGTAATAAAATGGAAACATAAAATGTGTACTTCTTTGAGCACAGTGAATATTGCAGAAATCAACTAAAGATGAATTCTATATCAAATTCTATTTTTTTTTTTTCTTTTTAAATTTCTGCTGCTTGGATTAATTTAAAAAGCAGTGGGTGGGATATTAATCCAGGCAGCAAAACTCTGCCTAAATGTATTGAATAATTTTCCAAGAAAATAAGTCTTGATTGAAAGTGCACTCTTGAAGTACCGACATTCGGTAAAGAAATTGTTTAAAATATTAATTTATGCAATAATTAATAAATTTAAAAAAATATATAGCAAAAGACTAGAGAGCTGAAATTACTAGAATAATTAAAGAACAAATCTGAAGAAAGAGCCTAAATAAGTTTAAAAAAACATGAAATTCAATGCGTGTACACAAGTAAAGAAATGATTTCATGCAGTGTTTACAACTTTTCACTTTAAACATGAGTTTTACATGCGAGAACAAATGTTCATTATACAGTGAAGGAAAGTAAAGAGTATTCAAAAATATCAAAGATGCAAATGAAAGTAAAATTCACATACATTTGTAAAAATGGTTTAAAAGGGAGAAATGAGATTCACAGTGAAAAAGGTTGTTTTTTTTTTTTAAGAAAATCTTTCAAGCTAAGCTAATGTTGAGCCCCATTCAAACACAAACCAACACAATACTACTTTCTTACACTGGAATTGTTATATTACTATTTATGATTAACATTGCTAAAGCTCATGCCAGAGCAATAATAACTATTCATATAATAGATAATAAAAAACAGCAATAGAATGTAATAATTGTATTCAAATTATTGCTATAAAATTATGTTCGTTACTGTTTTACAGCTACTAGGGTTCATCCTTTTAGCAGCACTAGTGTTTCTACCTAGAGTTCAGAGAGGAAGAAATAAGACCTCTAAAAAAGAAGTAATGGCAAGCTCTGTAATATGAATGCATGCAGAGTTAAAATTTAGCTTTATATATTTTGAGAAATTTTATTGTGGTTCATTTTAATTGAATAAAGTAAAATTAACAAATATATATAAGTATAATTCTTTTACACCTTGATTTTATTTTCAAAACTGTAGATGTTTGTATATTTGCAAACAAAAACTGCATAAATTTGCTACTCGTGGGGACTGTAACAGATTGGAAATCATTTTAGACAACTTGAGATTAAGAAAAAAAAAAAAGAAAGAGAGAAACCTTTTCATAAGCAATTTGTTATAGATTTAATTCCCACTTACTGTGACTAATTTAACTAGAATTTGTTTATGTTTTAACATCTTTATTAAAAATTAAAACCAAGTTGTTATAGAATAATTTCGCATCAACGTGGTGGTCACCAGCATTCACAATATCAACATATATATATATGAAAGAGCTCTTTAATGTACTATCTAAAAAGAGTAAACTAATAGATAGCTAAATTTTAAAATCATATTGCAATCAAATATTTCACAGATATAATTAGTGGATGATATTAAATTCCTGTGAAATACTAAATTTGAAATTCTACCTCATTAAAATTATAGTTAATTTAATGGGCAAATAAAAGAAGAGTTAAAATAGATAACTCTCAATCCAGTTATTGCTCTGCACAATATCTGCATGTGTGGATCTATTGCTAGCTAATTTATCACAACCACTCGACAGAATGTACAGACAATAGCAGAGGAAATTAAGATTTCTTTTCTACAAAAGATCTGGATGGAAACAAGACTGAAAGGAAAGAAAAATATTTAACGGTGAATCAAGAGAGTAAAATGGGAAAGGAAAGATAGGAACACTACCAACAAAGACATTTCTTAGACAAAAGTCATAAAATGGATTCAATATGAATGTCTAATGGAAAGAAAGGCAGTTTAATGAAGTTACTTAAAAAAATGTAAATGTAGTTAATTTTTGCTGATCTGCCTATTTTATATATATATATATATATATATATATATATATATATATAGCTACCATCTGGTTTTGAATTCTAACAGCAGACCATTTAAAGCTATAGTTTTGGTATTTTATAATTTAGTACATTACTGACAGGAAGAAATTTTAGTACATTACTGACAGGAAGAAAATTAATAGGAAGCAAAAGTTTTGCAAGTTGAAAGCAGTAGGAAGTTATTTCTCACAAGGACTCACAAACTGACTTTTTCTCTTGCCATGAACTTTTCCTGAGATGTGTCTTTTCTGCTGCATTTGGGTGGAGTCTTTCAGGAGACAGAGCACGCCTTAAGAGTGGTGATCCTGGCTCACAGCTCTTCGGTCGAGTGAATGACCTACGTGATGTTGTATGAGGTACAGGAGAGCCAGAAGCAGACAACTGGGAAGGATATGTCTGTTGAACTGTGTTGGAACTGCCAGCTTGATGTCCTTGCGTAAATGCCAGTGGGCTTGGACTTCGAGTCGGTGATGTAGCCATCGGAGATGGAGATGGTGTCCTTGCTAATGGAGACAAAGGTATGTTATGCACTGATTTGCGTCGATGAGGAGATTTCATGCTTTGAGCTCGTTTAGGGTGTTTGAGTCCATGTAAGGAGCTAGGTCGGCCATAGTGGGAAGAAGCTGCTGGAGAGCTTGGTCCACTCGAACTAGGAGAGCTACTAGTTGACGAACTGCCTGCAGCTGACTCTGGCGTTGGCCATGGTGTATTGATAGGTAGGGAGCGTGCAGACCGTGGCAAGTTGGGTGAACTTTCAGCTGATGACAAAGATTTGCTTAACGGACTGAAGGTTCTGCTGGCACTAAGGGGAGAGCCAGGATGCATGTGTTCAGTCTTTTTGCTCAACTTGCGGAACAATGACCGGCCTTTCTTCTTTTCACCACTCTTCTCTCGTTTTTTGTGGTATACACGACGAGCCATTTTGCCTGGATTGGTGCGATGTCTGCGAGTACCAGTTTTGATGGTTGTATTTTCCAAGGGCACAGACCGGATTTGCAGTACATTCCCTCCACTAAGAATGAGCTGCACCACCTGGGTGTGCAATAAGCTTTGGACAGATTCTTCATTTATGTGTGTAATAAGACATCCAGGACGTAATCCAGCTTCAAAAGCAGGGCCACTTGTTTCAACAGCCTATGAAGAAAAAAAAGAATAATAATTATACCATTTTCAAATTAAAAATATTTTTATTACAGGAATATCATATTAATGACTTTCTAATACATTGCAACAAAGTAAAAATGTCCTATACATGGAACTTGTCATAAGACACAACTAAACCCTAGGTTAGAAAAGAAATACATCATCAGAAAGTTTTTGTTATATACTGTACCTATGAACACTAATGGGTATATGTCCCAATCCTCATAAATACATTGGATACTATTGTAAGTTGGGTTAATATGCTGTCTAAGTAGTTCACCACTAACAGTGGTTTACCTACTTCACGCCGCTGGCGAGTATTGTATTTTGTTTATGTTATAAAGATTACCATTTTCATTTGCAACCTCCATTTTGATTATTCCTCATTCAGTAACCTTTTCTAGGTTACAATAGTTTCCAAAAAGGAAGAAACAAATTTTATATTTTTTTGCAAAAAATATTGATAAAATTTAAAAAACTAGCTTTTTATATAATCTATGATATTATGGATGTATGGCTGGTAGCTTGTATTCAAGTATGCCTGTCTGTTAGGGTGGCTAGCTTCTTTAACACACACAGAGCCAATCTTTGGTTTATACTGCATCTATGCTGAACAGACCCTCGTTTCAGGGAGAGAGCAGATAATCCCAAGTTCAAACAAGACCAGTATGCTCCAGTATTGCAGTTCATGTATTTCTTTCCCACCCCATATATATATATATATATATATATATATATATATATATATATATATATATGTCACACCTTGAGTGCTGGTGCAATTAAAATAGTGCTCAATATCTAATAACAGAGCTATAATTTATATTAATAATAAATATACATATACAACTCAGAGTTGTACTACAGGTGAGGAAAAAATGTATATTTATTATTAATATATATATAGCAGCAAGCTGGAAAGAAAAATGGCCAAAATCACAGTAGAGGTGAAGAAAGAAATCATAGCCAAACATAAAAATGGTAAAATAAAATTAAGTTTTTGTCTACATTTTATCTATTTATTATTGCATCTTTTTTATGTTAGATTTAATGATTTTCTTTAGTTTTGTGCACAAAGTCCAGTTGTAAAAGTTTAAATAAGCAATCATCTGGAGTCCACGAATAGATTAACCCATTTTAGATTAATTCCTATGGAGAAAATAGTTTTGATTTATGAATATTTGGGCCCATGAACGGCCTTCAGAAACGAATTAAATTAGCAAACCAAGGTTCCACTGTGTGTGTGTGTGTATATATATATATATATATATGAATGAAAAATAAAACCATATGTTTCAGACATCGCTAAGGTTATTGAAATATAGTCGTCGTTGATAAAGGGAGACTACTCTACTTTTTGCAATGATTTTTCAGTCTTTACAGAAAATAAATCTAAATAGTTGTAAAAATTACACACACACACACACACACACACACACACACAGCGTGCCAAATTATTATCGAGATAACTTTTTTTCTAATATTTCAAAAACCGTCCAATCAATTCACACAAAATTTTCACACAATGTTGGCAACATTGACCTGCGCAATCACTGAAATGTTCGTAGTGATCTGTGCAATGTAAACAAACTGGCGCCATATTTGTTATCAGCACGGTGATTTGAGCGTGCCAAATTATTAGAAAAGTGTAAGAATTTAGTGAAAAGATGGGCCATAAAAGCAGTTTAAGTAATGCTGAAAAGAAAACTATCACCTCAGAACTCTCAAAAGGTAAATCTACTCTAGAAATTTCTAAAATGATAGGGAGGTGTCATCAAACAGTGAAAAAGTTCACCACCGACCCTACATAAGTACGCAAAAGAGCAGATAAAGGCAAACCAAGGATTATTTCACGTCGTCTCATGTCACGACTTAAACGAGAGGCCACGAAGAACCCTGGACTTACCAGTCAAGCTTTTCAGTCGCATTGGGGATCCTACTGTGTCTAAAAATACTCGGTGTCAGTAGCTGAGGGAAATAGCAATAACAGTCAAACCTGTATCGAAGCCTCCAGTGACGAGAAATTACATTCAAAATCAATTGAAATGGGCCAAGGACAATATGAAGATTGACTTCTCTAAAGTTTTGCTCACAGATGAAACTCGAGCAACACTTGATGGGCCAGATAGTTGGTGCAAAGGCTGGGTAATGAACGGACAGAACCACCATCAGTGTTTGAGACGCCAACAAGGCGGTGGAGGCATAATGATCTGGGGTGGTATTATTGGAAAACATTAGTGGGCCCATGGAGAGTACCAGATGGCGTCAAAATGACAGCTGATGCATACATAGTGTTTATAAAGGAGCATCTTGAACTGTGGATGAAACGGCAAAGAGTTGCCTTCAGAAGGGCCATTGTTTTTATGCAAGATAATGCTCCCTCACATGCTACTCACAAGACTACTGAATATTTGAAACAGTTAGGCTTCGATGGACCTCAAAAAATGAAGTGGCCAGCAAATTCTCCGGATTTGAACCCAATCGAAAACCTTTGGAGCATCATGAAGCGAAGACTGTACACCAACGGACGACAATTCAGGAGCAACGCTGAGTTGTGGGAAGCAATTCTTGACATACCTCGCGGCATTACAGCAGATGACATCCTACAATTAACAAATTCTATGGATCGTCGACTTCTTCAAGTAATTTCAAAACAGGGAAAGCACATTCCCTATTAATTTGTTTAAAACTGTGCCTTTGTTTGTATCTGTAATTATTTGTTTGATTATCTTATTTATTAGCTTCTTTTGATCATAAACATTCACGTACAACATTAATAAACGTTTTGTTTGCTCAATTATGGGAATTTTAGTAAACCTTTCTAATAATTTGGCACGCTCAAATCACTGTGCTGATAACAAACATGGCGCCAGTTTGTTTACATTGCGCAGATCAGTATGAAAATTTCAGTGATTGCGCACGTCAGTGTTGCCAACATTGTGTGAAAAATGTGTGAATTGATTGGACGGTTTTTGAAATATTAGAAAAAAAAGTTATCTCAATAATAATTTGGCACGCAGTATATATATACATATATATATATATATATATGGATTGGAATCCAAGAGATTGATAGCATGAGGAACAAATAGGAAACATTTATAAATCTAACAGGTTTTGCTCATCAGAGAATGAAATATTTCGAAGAAAAAGAAAATCCAAATCCTGAATTGACAAACTAGAGTTATGATACACATACATACATGGAGTATACACACAAACGCTGTTTGACAAGACAGATGCCTGCAAGGTCTGCTTAATGAAAAAAATAAGACAGAAATTAAAAATAGCAGAATTTTCTTTTTCTCCTTCATATTTCATATGAAACATGTTAGATATAAATTTGTTCTTTATCACATCATATAATTATCTTCAAAATTTGTGAAAAGATTACAAAGGATTAAAATCTAAAAAAAAAAAAAAAATCATTCAGCATGATCCAATTATTCCAAAGAGAAAAGAGCTTATTTGTATTCTATGAAATAATTGTAAAATAAAAACCTGCAAATCCCTTACAATCCAATTAAAATAACTTTTTTTTTCCTGTGATGATTGATTTATTACTGTTTTGCTTCTAGGCACACAATTTTGTATATTTTCAAACTTTAAAACCTTTATACCATCTGTTGATATTAGTGAAAAATACAATTTTGAATAATGAGGACATATGGCCGAGTGGTTAGTACATTAACATTCTAACCATGACTCAAGTTCAAATCTCACCAGGGCTGATTTGCCAGAGGAGACAATCCCAGGATGTGACAACATTAAGTAGATTTTTGGGGTTACCGTCGACCTGAGAGCAACTCGTGGTAGAGGGTTATAAGGTAAGAAGCACAGTTTATGTGGATATGTAGAGAAGGTAAGGGTTAACTCGAGACTTGAACAGGTTAAGATTGTAACGACTGGGGAAGCATCCTCTTGGGAGTCAGTTCCACAAAGCAGTGGTTTGTGAGAACTACCATTTCACCAATGGAATACAAAAGGTATGTAAATTCATCTGAATTCATGGAAATAGCAAAATACCTGAAAAGCGTACCACAGATTGAACAAAGTTTTGTTAATGAAATTGGACAGACAACTATTCAAAAGCTGTCAATGGTTGTGCTGACACAAAGTCACAAGTCATTGTGACCAAGGATTCATGTGTGTTGTCCTTGTTCACCTGATGATCATGCCAAATTATATATTCCCTACCAGTAACTGTAACTAAAATCCACGCAGCATAGTTGCTGTATAAACCACTAATTGGATGTTGGAAAAATACAAATGTGCCTGTGCAGACGTATGCAACAGGGATTATCTAGCCACCCTAGCAGACTCAATAGTATCCTTAAACTAACAAATGCCTATGTACCATTCAGTTAAAGCAACTCAATTTTACATTTTGAAAATATTTCACTGATAGAAATTTGTATAATCTTATGTAAAATTTTGTTTTTATTTCTATATGCTTTTTAAATATTGAATTTTAGATAGAAAAGAAAGAATACAAATTATTTTAAAAATTTACAAATTAATAACTTACTACAACCATATGATGCAAAGTATAAAAATCAGTGTCTCCAAGATAAACCCGAATAGCTTGAATCCGGAAGCCAAATCCTTGGGCACCTTTCTTAATGATCACAGGTGGTTTCAAGTTTCTAGTCAGTGGGGATATATCTCTGGACGGAGAGCCATCACGGGAACTAGTGCTTGAGCCACCTGGTGAATTTAGTGGCTGGATAACCAAGTCTTCTGAAACATAAACAAAATAAATCAAAAACTGAAGACAGAGATTGAGAAAATATTGAAAATGAAAGTAAAAACTTAACTAGTAAAAATATTTTGATAACCATGACTAGAAATTATGTGATAGAATTTGGAATTTCTATGTTGTTTTTGTAATAGTTAAAAGAAAATTATTATTTCAAAGTGGAGGTAATGAAAAACGCAATAGAAAGTTTCTACAAACAATTGAAAAAAACAAACCCTTCAAAGTAAAATGCTAAATATAATTAACTCATTTAGTAAGCAATGAAACTTTCTTAAGAATATTTTTATATCAGGTTATTACTCAACAAAGAATAATGTAAGTTAGAAAATCTATTATAATTAAGTTTCTGAAGCATTCATTTCTTAAAAGTTTAAAAGAAGAAATCTCATTGGAGTAAAATGTCATATTCTTTAATGTTTCAGTAAAAATATCACATCTAAAATAAAATAGAAAAATACTCTTGGATATACAAAGGTAACTTCAAAATTAATGCCTCCTATTTTATTATATTAGCAGTAGTCTGAATCTTCCCACCAATAATTTTTAAATGCCATTTTAGAGATAGAAGCTGGGCGGCAGCCTGGCAAAATGACAGCTGTCATGAAAATGCATATGAAGCAGTGATGTATTGTTGAATTTCTCCATGCAGAAAACAATGATATTCAGGAATGCTTGCTGAACATTTACAGAGACCAAACAGCATATGTGAGCACAGTTAGGCAGTGGATAATGTGTCTGAGCAGTGACAATAGCAATGTGTATGACAAGCCACATTTATGAGCATGAGATGTAGGATCTTGTTCATCATTAATTAAATTGGTGTTGACTAGGTGTGGGGGGAAAAAAGAGTTTTGTAGCTGAAAACTTGCTCTATCCAAGAGTTTTATTGTGTGACCTGTCTGTATTATAGTTTCTGTTGAAATAAATAGTAGGCATTACTTTTGGAGCACCCTTTGTATATTTATGTATGGTTGTATATATTTATATAGACAGTTAAAAAAAATTATGGTAAACTTAGAGCTTTGCACCTGCAAAAAACAGTGTCAGAAGGACTGTTTTTCCCTTGACACCACTATTATTTTAACTACCTTCACTCCTCAGTAACGTTTATTGTTTTAAAAAGTGATTAAAATTGTAAAACTAAAACCTAAATAAAATCTAAACATATAATGAAAGTGAATTTATACATTTTTTTGTTCTTGAGAATTTAAAACAAAAATATTAAGTACTAATTATTTATTAAATTGTTTATTTACAAGAATAATTTTATATTTACAACATTCTAAAAACTAATAAAATTAAAACTAATGCAATGTAATATTTTTCATTTACTAATTTATAAAGAAATAAATATGGAAGCAATTCTTATTCATAAATTTATAAAAATTTGCTAAATTATTAAAATATCTGAACAAACTATAAGGAAATCCTTATTATTTACTATTTTATAAAGTTTGAATCAATTGGCAATTAACCACTGTTTTGTCAACCATTCCAATATACAATTTAATAAATAGTATTTATTTTTGTCATCAATTCTCAAGAATTTTGTTTTGTTTATTCCTTATTTGATTTTATTTATTTAAGTGTATTCATTTTTGAATGGCTAAATGTATATTTTGATTTGTAATCATCTTCTGCTAACCTAAACAGCCTGACCAAATTTTTGACATTTTTTTTATGTATATGTCACCATATTACTTATAGAATCATACCTCACAAAAAAGGAATTTTCCTGTTTGTTTGGTGGGGGGGAAAGAAGAAGGGAAATTGTAACAGATAGGGGAGTGTAATTTGGACAAAGCACTTAGAATTGTCTTTTGTCACAAAAAAAAAAAAAAAGAGTTCAAATAATGTTAATGCCTTGCTGAATTTTATTTGATAGAGAATATTTGAACTTATACTAAGTCAAAACTTAATAGATAATATAATAACTAACTCTACCTAAGCGCATATATTCAGAGCTAATTGCCATACCTAAACTATGAAATTTTACTCACTAATTATTTATTTTATTCTACTTTTATTTATTTTTTCTCTCCCCTACCAATAGGAGTAGACAAGTTAAACTATCATCCGGTTCACACTCCTCCCTGGTCTTTTAAACAGGCTTATTCCTTGTTTCCTGTTTAAGATTGTGTTTCAAGCTCTTTCTAAAGTCTACTTCAGCTCTGTATTCATAACATCTGCACCTGAAGTTTGAACATTTATTCACTATTTATTTCATTTTTTTCTCTCCTCTACCAATACCAGTTTACACCCCTCTTCAGTCTTTTCAACAGGAGTAAACTGGGTTTCTGGTTCCTTCTAAAGTCTACTTCAGCTCTGTACTCCTAACGCTTGTTCTTTCATATGTGACTATAACTCCACACAGTAACCCTCTAACTTGAGTGGCTCTTGGGCCTTGTATTAGGTGAACATTAGTGAAAAAAATAAAATAAACATTGCTGAGGAGTGAAGGTAGTTAAAATAATAGCACTGTTAATAGAAAAAAAACATCCTTTTGACAGACTTTTTTGTGGACATGAAGGTCCAAGTTTGACAAAACTATAATCACCACTTTGCTCAGTTGGGAAAAATACCTTGTTAGACCCATTATTATTTTTTTTTTTAATGCATTAACTAACAAGAATAAATAATGGTTAAAATAATTTCAATTACTATTTCAATAATTTCAAGCAAATATGCAGCATAAAGTTAAATTTACAATAAAGTTTTATGATCAGAATAAAAAAAATCAGTGAATGAAAATCTGACTTCTCATTTGAACAAGGGAAGACAAAGTTTCCAACATTTAATGTAGATATTTTAGCATTTGTGAATAAAAATCATAATTTAGTTGTAATGAAAATATTTGAAAATCTTCATTGATTTCTTATACTATAGAATGTTGTATAATACAGAAACAATGTTGAAATAGCAGCAACGATGTTTTGAAAAAATACAACTATAAAAAATAAAGAAATTTGTTCACATGGCAATAGTAATATCAAAGGACTGGCTACATTGTAATTGAATAAAAAAAACATGCAAAAAAAGATTTTAAATACATTAAATAAGAAACTAAAACAGCAAAAAAGTATCTAGTAACTAGACAATCGAAATTAAAATATAGATATATATATATAGAAGAAAATTGAAACTATTCTGAAAAATTCTATTTAGATCAACCTAAATATTAGTATTAGTTACCAATGACCCAAACCTGTCACATGGGCAGGTCATCTGCAACTAAAACAGTTACCCAACTTTATGTAAGGTCAATGGCCACCTAGCACAAGAGAGTAGACTAGACTTCAGAGCTATGTAATCCGGCAGTGTGGTGATAACACGTCATTGCTGGACAGAGGGTTTCTCCAATGTGTTCATGATTAAGGCAAGCTTTCAAATTGGAGGACATTAGCTGTAGTTTAATGTGGAAAGGGATAAGCTCCAAAAGGTTTATGCACTACACATGAATGGATACTTCTCTGGCTTTCAACCCAGATATGTGGAGGGAAGAAACTGGTCAAGTGTTCAGCTATGCAGCAACCCTACAATCACATCCAGTCATAGCTGCTGCTGAGATATTATTTTGGTCTTCTTTTGATAATGCAACATGCTTTCATTTCTCTGAACATAAAGCAAGTTCATATTTTCTAACAGACAAGATGATAGGATATAAAATACTTGAATTTTCTTTAACTTAATGGTGTTTATATACTTTAATCCAACAAAGTAGTGATGTTTTCAACAAGTTTCTGACAATATTGCCTCTTTGACAAATTCACAAACCATTTTTCTCTGAAAGAAATACTGCAACCGGAAATATTTCTGAAATCAAAATTTGAGTTTTAATGCTAACACATTAACAAACTTTTAATATTTGTTATTTATTAAACAAAAAACCTTTCATTGTTAATATTAAAATATAAATTAATATTTTAATAAACCTATTCATGATAACCATGACTGTACAGGTGTGCTTTTACCAAATTGAAATTTTATTAGCAATTCCTGCAGATTTTATTAGAACATTTACCTGTATAGTATAAAACGAGTGTATTTTCAGTGAATATATAATAAAAAGGGATATTTAAAATTGCAAGCTGTCATTGTAAATATTTTTGGATAAGTAAATTTATCTTTCAGATCCCTCCCCTCCTCTACCTGGTATAAAAGAAGTTACTGTCAAAAATATTTATACACGAGTAATTAAAATTGCAAAGAAGAATGTATAAATAATTTATTTTTGACTTGAATCTTGACAGCAAGTAAACAGTTTTTACATTCTTATTTTAATCTAAAAAGTAGTGTTATAAAAACTCTGTGGAATTTCCAGATACAGTTAGTATTTTATTATGAAGCCTTACTTGTGCACTCCAAAAAGCTACTTCACCAAATAGTATCCTTTTAAAATAACAAAGTTAAGAGATATAACTGTTAAATGCTTGATTATATCTTGTTTTAACAGCTCATTAATAAATATTTTATTATGAATCCATAATTGTTGTGCACTGAAAAAAGCTACTTCACCAAATATTAACATTTTGAAACGATAGGCTTTTTATTAGGTTGTCTTGTTATGTGTGCAATTACACACAAATTATCAGAGAAAAGAAATACCATATTTCACTGCTTATAAGATGCTCTAATGCATTAGATATCCAAAAATATTTTTAAGGAAGAAACTGGAATAAAAAGTGTTTCCCCCTCTACTTCATAGTCCTCCCCACTCTTAAAGATTTAAGTAGCATATTTCAGCATGAACACCTGACAAATCGTGAAAAATTCATCACAGACCGAAAAGAAATACCAAATTTATGGTAACTATTTAGAATGTAATAAGTAGAAGAGAAGTTAACCCCTGTTACTGAGCTTCATTTTATAGGACACAGGGTGTATTTTTTGTTTTTTTTTTTTTTTAGATATTTTATAGGGAAAGTAATGCATCTTATAAGCATAAAAATACAATAGGGAAAAGAAATGCATTGGTACCTGATTATTGCTGCATTTCAGAAACTAAACTTTTATTCAGAAAAAATCACTTTTTAACAGGTATGGAAAACTAATATCTTTGTAATAAATTTGGAATTAAAAAGCAAAACCTGAAATGGTCAAAATGTTCTTCTGCATAATTATCTTCATTTTAACTGTCAATCAAAAGACATTGCTTTTAATTTATCACCATTTCACATTGCATAAAACTAAACCATATCAGTGTGTGCCTGAATACATTGATGAATTGTTACATATAATAGGGAATGAAAACAGAAGCTTTGCAAAAGAGAAAGTAAGATACTGTAGATTTCTTTAAAATCTTCAAATTCACAGCCACTATACTCCAAGTATGCATCATGTTTTACAAGTTTTAATTTCTCAAAAAATAGTACTTGACTAAGTGATTTTTTTTTTTTTTTTACACAGAAGAATATTTGCTTTCTTCATGCAAGAAGCTGAAATGTACAACACACACCAATATTACCCTCTGTAAATGGTTAACTTCCTACTTATAATTACAAATGCAGTGGAGTGCAAACAGTTCACTAAATAAATTGAATCAAAAAAATAATTAAATAAACAAGCTGAAATTTGAACAACAAACCACAAATAGACTACACATTTGTATAAGTGGTTGAGAGCATCCTTAAAACCAACTCAGTCTCCATTTTGTACTCATTTCCTGTTGTAAGCAGGGAACTTACAAATTTCCATGTTTTATATAAAAAATAATATTTTTCATCATTTTTTTTTTAAATTAAAAACAATCCTGAATCAACAGAAGAAAGAAAATCAATTACTGTAAACATTAAGAAGGAAATAATTTTTAACTTAGAACTTTGTGCAGAATATGGAATGGTAAAATTAATCTGCATGATATTCAAAAATAAAGATGCTTCAAAATTGTTCTGGTGGTTAAAGGAATAAACAAACTTGATAAATCAAACAGCAATGTAGATTTTGATGTAGATTAAAGAAAAAGAAATTGTTGGTGATAATATAAGTGAATTGATAATTTATACAGTTGTGTGATGAGCTTAGAGCTAATGCTCACTGTGAAAATGATATTCCAGTGATAGAGTTTCTTGTTTCAGTTTATTTCTGTATTTACAGATTTTTCCTTTATTTATGCATAAATTTATATATTGTTTTTTTTTGTGTTTGTTTTAATTCATTTCCTATTTTTGTATGTAGACATCGGTGTGGGGCTTGGAACTGATTAACCTTATTTATATATATTCCACTTATTCACTTAACAATTTGGTTAATGAACAAAACTCCAGAACAAATTATGTGCATATATAGAGAACCCACTGTATTATATTCTATTATTAGTTTAAACCTGTCAGGTTTACTTTGGAAGATAATTTTGAAGGATATATCTATAACTTTAAGACTAATCATCTTTTAGCGTTTCTTTTTTCAGTTGCAATTTTGATTATATATATATATATATATATATATATATAATGAACTCTACCATCTATTTCAACATATGAAGCCCAGCAGCTTATATTTTTCAACTATGTTCATGTTGAATATGACACTTCCGTCCCACAAGAGACTTACAGACAAGACCACACTGGGTACAAGATTGTGAGTTAGGAGACCATCTACTGATCTTAGTGCAGATTGTTTTGTCATTATTCTTGCTCCCACCCCTAGACATTTTGGAGGCATTTAAATTCAAATGCTTTAATGTCATCGTGACAGCATACTCTACACCCTTTTCAGTCCAGGGCCACCAGCTCAAAGATCTTTTGTAGTACCCTGGCAGCTTCTTCAGCTTGTCTTTGTACCTGAACTATGGTCTGCCTATGTTTCTGTGTTACTGCATGTGTAAGAGAACTTTTTGTATTGAACAGTTCCAATAATTCCAATTTTGCAAAGAGAACAGCATTTGAGATCTTTGTCTTTGAATACATATCCAAATTAAGCAAAGGCAGCCCTTATAGAAAACATTCAGTTCATTTATGTATGTATGAAATGCAATGCAAAACTCAATATACATATAAAAGGGCAGTGAACACAACAGCTTTGTAGACTTTATTCTCCTTGTTCTTTGTTTTAATGTCTATTTCTGTTGCAATAATTAAATTCTTTAATCAACTTTTTCTCTTATTTTTATAACACACTCTAAATCAGAAAAATTAAGAAATATTATTTGTTCTATACAGTATTATTACTATCTCCTTATAGTAAGTTTCTGTATTGTTAATAAAGAGTTTTATCTCTTGATATCTAACAATGCATCCAAAATCAGTATCAGTTACATAATAATTTGTCAAGAAAAATATTCATGAAAAATTCATTTAAAAAAAAAAAAAAAAGATAAAGAAAATAACCTTAAAAAGAGATGACAAAGAAGTGAATAAAAATTCAGATTAGCCCAAAGTGATTAGTTTGTAAGTAAATTAATTGAATAATTATTGAACATCAAACAACTACAAACCTGAAATGATAATTATCTCTGTAAAGGCAATAATATATAACAACCAAGCATAAAACTAACAAGTAGAGAACACCATGCTATTCAGCTTTCAATGCAGCTAACTGACTTAGAATAAAACAGTAACAATTCTAAAACACAAGGAATAAAGAAAACACACAATTATGCATAAGAATTGTTTGCTTACACTCTTATCATGCAGTGTTTGCATTAAATAAATTAATTAAATACAAATAGTATACAGTTCTTTAAAAACAATATATATATATATATATATATATAGGTAGGTAGGTAGGTAGGCAGGTAGGTAGATAGATAGATACACACACTCAAAATTCAACTTAGAAAGAAAGTGATTCAAATTGAACATTTTTTATAAAAAGAATGAGCTAAAAATCAACTGCAATATGTAACTGAATGAAAAGGCATGAGCTCAAGCAGTTTTCCTCAGGGTCACAACAAAAGAACACAGGCAGTGAGCGCCACAATGAGAGGATTTACAAAAAAAAAAAAAAAAAAAAAAAAAAAAAAGAAAAAAGGAAGAAACAGGGAACATAACACTTAGTGAGAAATATACCTGGAAAGAACAGTCTACGTTTAGTCAGTTCTCCGGGGCTATCCATTGAGTGACCTGGAGAAAATGGATATATTTGATGTTCAAAAATCTTTAAGAAAATCTAGTAACATTTCTTTTCTTATGTGGAACACTAAATTATTTTTTTCATGGGATAGAAATCAACTATGAAGTGATGCTCACAAACTAATATAAAAAGCACACGATGTTAAATACAAAAATTTGTTAGCAACAATGTAAGGATAACATTGAATATTAATAACTATATTGATTTCTTAATAAATCTTTTGATCAATAAATCAAGTATTTTGGTGATAGTAGCTTATACCTTCATAGGTAATAGAGATGGTATTAGAATATTGGGAAACTTAAACCTTACATAAAAGCAGATGTAAAAACTGTAACTTCTCTTTTAGATTTCATTGTAAATCAAAATAAAACCAATAATTAACAACAAAAATAATGATAACTAAAAAAACTGTTTTTTCAATATATTTAATGCATATAAATTGTCACCATTTATAAATCACTGAATATATATTTTAAACCGAAAGACTATATGGATGCTATTTAAGGTTAAGAAACATGTTTTACATTAGACTTCTAATAAGTACATTTTATAATACTATTTGCTAAAATTTTCAATAACTTCTATATTTGGCTGTATCATAAAGAATTATTTGAAAGAATGAAAATGTTTATCCTGTTGTTCAATCAAATACTGTCAGTTATTTTTAGCTGAAATTAAGGGATTTTAGAAGATAAAATACAAACAGAGTGCACTAATTGAAATTGTTATAGACTTTAACATACTGGTCAAATTTTCAAAGATTATATTAAATCAGTTTTGTTAAATAGTAAAAGTATTTTTTAGATCAATTGAAGGAAGCAATAGTATTTATACATAAAATTAAAGCATTTTCTTAATACATCACATCAAGTCTTAAAATGGAAATCTGTAATGTTAAAATGGTCTCTAAATGGAAATACATATGTTAAAGCAGTCTCTAAATGGAAATATCGTAATGTTAAAGCGGTTTCTAAATGGAAAATGTCTAAAAATGAATCAACCAAATTGCTTCACTGATAATATACATTACTATTATGCAATTGTCATAATGTAACATTTTTACCTGATTGTTCATAAAGGTAGGAATTCCTATAAAGAATGCTGAAACATCTTTTAAACCGTAATTTTGATATTAATCATTATTCTATACTTGTTGTAAATAGCTATACATTACAAAACAGTAAATTTTGGTTGGTGATATGAAATAAAAAGGAGAATTTTTAAATTTTAAGAAACTGTTTCTTTCAAAAGTAAAAACAAGCATCTTTAATGTTTTCACAATAAAATTGGTATTACCCAACCAAAATTGTCAGGATATACTTATATTTATATAATGAATATACCAAGTGTGATTTTCAGTATCTAATACATTTTTGAAATATTTACAATAATTTATTTGGTGGAGTCAGATTTTATTATACAACTCAAGGGTTGTTCAACATAAGAAATTGGATACAGTATATTTCCACATATAAGATGACATTTAGATAAGATAAGGTTAAAAAATATAGCAAATTTTCACAAATTTATCTTGTACCTGTAGTATAAGATGACTGCTTATTGATTATATAAAGATGACATTAATGGAAATGTTGTTACTGTATCCTTAGAAATTCAAAATAAACGAAATAACAAAATCGATTTTATATCATGTTTTATATCAAGTGTCAAATAAAAGTGAAACCATTGTTTTGTTTACTTTTCCTCAAATGATCTCTTGTGAATACTGATTCTTCTTTTTCTTTTCCTATATCTAAACAGTTACAAACAGTCTGGTGTACTAATAGCCATTTACTTATACTTCATTGACAATCACAAAATACCACAAATAATGAACAATAACAATACATTCCATTGCTGTGAACGCAATAATAACTTGATGTTTACATTTTCTCAGCTGATCTTGCATGGATACAAGTTGATTTCATTGATATGGAATTATTCTTCAAATAGGCAATTTATTATGAAGTTATGCTAGTAATATATTAGGTAGAAATGGTTTTATTATTTTTATTATCAATTTATTTGATAATGTCAATCTTTTCATGTACGTTATTAGTTATCACACCGAGGGCGAAGTTAGCCTACTGACAAACATCACTCAGAATTTAAGGTTTCATTTTTAGAATTGTAGTATAAGATGACCCCAAATTTTTAATCTTATACATGGAAATAGATGGTAAGTATAGATAATAATAAATAAATAACTTTAAAATATAAATTGTATAAATAAATAATAGCATAATTATTGGTACATATTTTTTAATTTCAAATATATAAAGACTGTCATAGGCTGTAAGAAACATATAGCCACAAACGAAAAGATATATTAAAGTTACTAAGTTTTGGAAACACAACTTTGAAAATTGCAAGAACAAAGTAAAAAAAGTGGAATAAATATCCCAAAACAACCAAAGAAATTGAAAACATTAATAAGATAAAAACAAGAGCCCCAAAATATGGCTTCAATAACTTCACTAAAAAAGAATGAAAAAAAAAAAATAGTATTAAAAGGAAAGTAGATTAACCAGCAAAAAAATATTGGAAGAATCATGTGAATGTAGAGAGAGAGAGAGAGAGAAAAGAGAGAATATTAAGAACATTGGCTAAAGGCATGAAAGCAACCAAACTGCCAACTTTAAGTAAACATATAGAGAAACATATAAGATGAGTAAGAAGTACATGAAAATATTACTTTTTAGTGATGACTGTAAAGCTACATTGGATGGACCAGATGACAGGTTGAGTCTTTCATTGAAATTACTTGGAAGACAAGAGGTGAATGAATATTTTGGGCTAGCACTGTGGGTAGAAAAAAAAGGTCCCTTCAATGTTAATGATGTTTTTTGCTTGGTAAAGGTTGTAAGCATGACGTTTTAAGCAAAATAGTCTATTAATGCATGACAATCCTTTACCTTCTGCAAAGTTCAACTTGCTAAAAATGGTTTTAAAAACAAAATATTTTTAGGTTTCTATCATCTCCAATAGAAAACTTGCATCCATCATTAAAGAAATATATGTGAGAATAGAAAACGATATTCAAGCAAAGATCACTGGCAAGCAATAACAATTGCTGTAAGAAAAATTAAATTCAAAACAGTAGGAAAGTTAACAAAATCAATGAAAGAAAGATGGATGAAGGTTACAGAATCTCAAAAGGTCATATAAATCCCTTCAAAGTTGATTATATTAACAAGATAAATGCAAAGAATTATTCTAAGATTTTCAACAAGACATTCTTTGAATGGTACAAGTTACAACCTAGAGGCTTTAAGCTAAAGATTAGATATTTACAAAAGACCTTATTCAGAACACTCTCTACTGCCAAAAAAGGTTTAAAAATATAGCAAGTCAAGGAATGACATTCAGCCTCTCTCAATATTAACCCAATAGAAAACTTATGGTCTATCATTAAAAGATATATATATGAAAATGAAAAGCAATATTCAAGCAAAGATCTCTGGGAAGTAATAAAAACTGCTGCATGTTAAAAACATTAAAAAGTTAACTAAATCAATGTATGAAAGACAGATGAAGGTTATAAAATGTCATCCATGTTTTTAGAATATTGTGTTATTCAAATATATGATTACATTAATCTATAAATCTTGGATTTATTTAGAAATGAAAATTGTTATACGCTTATTTTTTTTTGTTGCATAATAAAATCTGACATTCCTAAAAGAAGTTGTTTTTAATATTTTAAATCAGTAAAGATATAATAGGATGAAACTCCTATAATATTTTGCTCACATAAAAATATACTGAAAACTTTAATATTGTTCAATACCAACTTTATTTTGGAAACATTAACTTAACCAAATTAGATCTGACAATGTAGATTTCTTTTTTTAAATCACAAAATTTTTTAAAAGTTTTAAGTCAATATCTTTTTCTATTTGCTGTGTCCATTCAGGACATTGGTAATTACAGCTCTCTACAATTTCCTGTCCTTTGCAGCTCTTAAGAAATGTTGTCTTTTTGTTATCTCTCCTCAACCTTGCTCTACCAACCATTTACTCAAGCTTGGTAAGTAGACTATGTGTTGTTTTCTTCTGTCACACTTGCCTTCAATCTGTCCTGTGAGTATCAAATTTTCTAAACCCTCTTTCTTCATTATGTGCCCTAGGAATTTCAACAAAGCAAAATATTATTCTGAAATTCCACTGAAAGATTTGTGGACGATGGTGGGTGTAAAGAACTATCTAATCATTTCAGAAAAGAAATAGAGTCGAGACTCAACATTTTTTTAAAAAGAAAAAACCTTTTCTGTTTATGGATGCATACATATAAAAACATATAAGACATTTTTTCCCCTTCACAGACCATGAGAATAACAATACATAAACTCCTACATTTGCAAAAGTTTTACTTTTATTTATATGCATAGTGCAGCAAAGGTAATGCCCTTTTTTGGATGCAGGAGAAATAATGTCTTTCTATTAGTGCAGCAAATGTAAAGCATCTTTTTTGTTTGTTTTTAGTTTTGAGATGAGGTGGATAGACAATGTGGAGCAATTGAGGACTCATCACGATCACCAAACCTAACACCACCAAACTTTTTTCTTGTCGGGGCGGGTACTGAAAGATCTTGTTTACAGGCTCAAACCAAAAACAATTACAGAATTAAAACAAACAATTTCTGATAGATTTTCTGAAATTAATATAGAAATGTGGCAAATGGTTTGTAGAACTGTTGCTGACAGGGTTCATCTCTGTATTGAACATGAAGGGGAGTATTTTGAACATGTTAAATAGTTTGTTAATCATGTCGTTTTGATGTGACAATACTTGTAAATTTTCTTATATGGTAATTTATTTTTGTTAAATAAAAATTAATATATAAAAAAAAAGGTCATTACTTTTGTTGCACCCTGTATATATAAGTTTCTAGATTTATTTTTAATCTGACATTTTTATTACTTCAAACATTGTTTTCAGTGGATATCAGTGTTTGAAATAGACATCTTGAAGTAATAAAAATGTC